GTGGGTCCTGGCTCCCCCATGACCTAAATTCATTCAAACCAAGAAAAGAAGGGGGTTTCCTTTTCCCAAGTGAAAGTCCCTACGTACTTGGGGCAGCCAGGACCTCTCACTAGAAAGCCTTTTGCTAACCACTAGCCCCCTGCTCTCATTCACTGTGGTGCCAAGACATGCTGAACTAACCTGCTGAGCTTGCAAGGCTTGGGCTGTAGCATCAGAGGCACGTTTGGAAAGCTGGTCACAGCCCTTGGGACATAGACCCCTGGAAGCACCAGCATCTGTAGCTTCCTGGGATTTGTATGGCTCCAGAGGAGTGGCATTCAGTTTGGGGTTGGTCTCTGTGTTCAAGTCCCCCGCATTTCATTCACAAACAGCTAGGATTAGCTGAGCTGTATCTTCCCCAGTGGCCTACATACATCTGTTTCCTAATGAAACCATCAAATTGTCTTGTGATGGGGCAAACCCAACCTGTTTTGTGAGACTTAAAAGGACACAAGTGGCGAATGAAATCTCTTCCTCTTTGCTGCAAAGTGATTTTTCTGGGTTGCCTTCCCTATGGGTGAGCTGAAGTTCAAAGGTTTAGGGAAACACTTGTTTTTGTGGTCCAGACGAAATTTACAGAGTAATATTTCCTATGGGAGTAAAGCTGTCCAGCCCACCGATCATAAGTAGCCCTAAATATGATGGCTTGCTATGTGGCCTAGGACTCTTTAGAGCAGGTTTCCTTCAAAACGATTCTGCAATCTCATGGACCCCAATGTGAAACTCTGTCTTGCCACAAGAAGCTAAGTATCCAAATAGTGGGCAATCTAACATCTTCTGCTTCCTAGCCCTTTGAACAAAAGGCTATGTATCCCTTTAAAAAAAAATCACATGTACCAATTCCCCGTTCCCCACCTACCTTGTATATAGAGAATATACCTATGTGTAGTGATATCCCAGGGATTAACGTAATATGGCATTGTGGCCAAATCTGATGTGTGAAATCACAGCAAATAAATTAACACTCCATTAAGAATCAAATCAGCCCTGCTGACACATAATCTTTCACGTTTATGTCAAGTCGTGATTCCCATTCACATCCCGAGCTTCCCAGGGCGGCTCATTAAGCCTGCAGGAAGAGGTTTCTTTTAAGTCAATGCTATTCAAAAGTCATTCAGCTGCAGTGCAGAACAGCCCGCCTGGGGTCTGGGCACCTGCCTCTTCACACTCTCATTGTCACTGTCCAGCCAGAGTCCCAGCCAGGCTGGATATAGCTGGGCTCCCTGCTGAGTGTGTTTCCAGCCTGTATAAAAGAGAGGAGGAAATTGCAGGGGAAAAGCACGTGGGTAGGACCTGGCCTTCACAGAATTGTTAAGCCCGGAGAATATATGTTAGTTACCACAGGTGCTTCTTCCACATCAGAGTGTATGGTTAAAAGGTGGATTTATCCTTTTGTTTCATATTTATAGTCAAGATAATTTTTTTTTTTTTAGCTGAGCCATCCTGCTGCCTTTTAGCAGCTCAGCAGCAGCTCAGCTCGGACCGGGAATGGAACCTACGACCCTGTTGCTCAGAGCTTGCACTCTTGAGCAAGCTCTTAACCAACTGAGCCACTCGGCCGGCCCTATAGTCAAGATAATTATGTGGAATTGACATTTGTCCCCAAAGGAACCTTCTCTGAGATCTGTAGCTTATTCTAAGGTTCTTCCTTGCTCTCATAATCATACATGGATTCTCCTGGTTGCCTGGCATCTTGACCTCCTGAAATTCAGTCAACTCCTGTGTTTGCCAAAACTCTGGGGACTCAGGTATTAACTCTGCCTGAGGCTCTTGTGATTTTCCAGTTCTTACCAACTCCCCTGCTTTCTGATTACTCTTGGGCACCAATGTCCAAGTCTGGTATGGAGAGCCTCTTGTTTCTAGGGCTGGGATGAGGTTAGAAAAGGGCTACTACTCACCTGTTACTCACCACATGTTTATCCCCCTTGCTACAGTAGTTTTACAGTCAGGCTTTGTCTAAAGCAAGGGCTCCAACTTGCGCATTTGATCTGAGTCACAGTCTTCTCTGACCTTCAGAACCCTCACACCAAATTTCTCTTTTTCATGTAAACTCAGCACTCCACCTTGACTATAGACTGTCTTTCATCAAATCTCCCATCCCTAGAACTCGCCTCAAATCTGCATCCTGTTGACCTTTGAGCCTCCCACCAGTGGGCTTCTCTTATTCCCGCCCCTTACTCCACTACCACAAAGGGAACTAATCTGATAAGCAAGCACATCAGGGTGTTGATAACTGATAACCATTTAATGTATTATCCTCCTCAGAGGAATTATCCTCATTTAAGTTGCAAAGCCTTTATTCAAAAAAATGAACATTTTTAGGTAGTTTTCCAAACACTACACTGGAGAGACTAGCTATTTGGGGGCAAGGGATGTTCTGAGCCCTCCCAAAGCACACCATCCAAGCTCTTGCTTCTTTTATTGATCTATAAAGTGATCCCACTTGTGGAAATACAGGAATTACATTAATGCAATGGTTATTAAATTTTACTGCACCTTAGAATCACCGGGAGAGCTTTTAAAAATCTCAGTGTCTAGGCTATATCCTAGACCAATTAAATTAGCATTTCTGGAGGTGAGCCCCACACATGTTTTTGTTTGTTTGTTTGTTTGTTTGTTTGTTTGTTTGTTTGTTTGTTTTAATTCTCCTGGTGATTCCAATATGCAATCAAGTTTGAGCCCTGGAGCAATACTACCCACCATACCCACCACCTACTTCTTAGGCACAGCAGGCCTACCTACTGGAATCCAGTAAAATAGGCTTTCCTCATGCTGGGAATACTGTTTCTGGACACCGAGCCAGAGTTTCATTCTGAAAATGTGTTCTGTGGTTCTACAAGTACTTAGTATAATCCATGCAGGCTAAGTAGTTAGTTGCTAAACTGCAAACACCCATCTCATTTCATCCCAGTCCACTCCTGGCCATCTGGTCCTCTGTATTCCCATTACAGGGCCATGTGTGTATTAATGAAATGATTGCATCCGATTACATCTTTCATGCAGAGCACAGGAAGAACAGTCCATGTATTTTGTTCTCCAGCATCACTGTTTCTGTCATGATATCAATAATTAAGTTATTCTTTCTATTTCATGCAGAGATGGGATGGTCTTCCAGTAAGGTAAGAGTAAAATTCAAACGTGTTGTTGCTTACAATAAAGTTTTGATTTGGTGCCTAATATCTATAATGTAGATATTTCAGTCAAAAGCATAGATTTTCCCATGTCAGATATTTGTTAGTGGTCTCGATTGTAAAATGTCTGTCATATAGTTTATATTAATAACCAAGTTGTGACAATTGGTATACAAGAGGATTCACCCATGAGCACCTAAGAGCTGAACTAGTCACTGTTTTCTCTACTTTCCCTAAGCTTCATTTCTGTAAGCTCAGATGGTCAGAAAGCTACATGACTAGACTATATTTTTCTGCCATTGCTTGGTAGAGTAGGGAAGGGGAGTGAGGAGAAGGGGACCCATTTATTGACCTAAATCCTTAGCACACTCTTTTGTGTTGTCGTTGAAACCAAGAAAATTCTCCTCCTAAGGGAAATTACAGTGCCAACTGTTTAAATAAAAAGGAAGTTTTTCTATCTTGTGATATCTGAATAAACAAAAATGAATGAAGGATGGATGAATGGATGAATATCATGGTACTCATTCTTTATCAACTAGTCATTTTCTCTCTTACCCCTTTATCTTCCTAGAATATACATTTAAAAACCTATAGATGTGCATGTATAACTACCATGTGTATATATTCACTGCTACAGCCAAATTCCACCAACCCATTAATATTTGATCTTTGCACATATAGATTCTTGGCCTTCTCATTTACCTGTTTGTTCAAAGATTTATTCATTAAGTACTATGTGCCAGGGGGACACAGTAGTGAGCAAAACAATATGGTCCTTTACCTAATGGAGTTTAAATCTAGTAAGAGAGACATATACAGATAATTCAAATAATTTCAAATGCTAATGTGTAATTTTAAAATGGTGATAAGTGCTACCAATGGATAGCTCTGAGATAAATGACCCTGAGTATACGCAGTTTGACAATTAAGTTCGCAAACTTGCCACTGTGCACTTACTTTGACAGCACTGTACAAACAGCTCGGTAAGGTTTCATAACCTTGGTATATCAGTGTCTCACAGCTGTGTTCGTGTCGACGTGTGGCGGTGTCTTGCTGAGTGGCGTTCATTATTGTTATTGCGTGTTTT